AGTGAGTAAATTGAATAAATCAGATACCTTATTTTTTTTTATACGTCAGGCATTTTGAATTAGCTTTTTTCACTTACACTACTTGAACTACACTATTTTAACTAACAGATTTTTTAATTCTGCTTTTACTTTTTTAATTGCTGTCAAAAAGTTGTTTTCTTTGGTAAATTTGGACATTGCTTAATTGAAACCACTCCTTACCCCATGAACACAATATATCAAATAGATTTTGCTGTATTATGTAATAATGGAAAGAAAAAAAATTTGCAAAGTGTGTCAGGAAATAAGTTGAGCCACAACCTTACAACATCCACCAACATCCTAGTTACAACAACATTATTTGAAATAAGTCCACGCTCAGTTACGACAATTAAAAAGGGCTGAACACCAAAACTTGGTTATTTGAGTTTGATTGGTGTTTTCAACAGCTCATATATTTACATAGTTACTAAGTTTTGCAAAGCCAAGACTGTAAAGTTACTAAGTAGTTGCTAATACATTTTGAGTTCAGCTTGAATTTTTTGCAGTATGTTTGCTCATCCGTGTCTCTTGGTAGGTCTCCTCACCTTGAGGTTTTTTAGGGGAGAACAAGCCCATATATCCTGAAGTGAGGTACTTCCCATTCAGAATGGCAGGAAGCAGCTGGTTTGGACAGGTACCACTGGCACAGTCACTGCATGTTGGCATTGCAATGTCTGCACATTAACACATTCACATCACAATCATGCACTAAATTTACTTATTTGCTGTTTAGGAACAGTCAACATAGATTAATCTCACATAATATGATATGTACTCCCGACTGAGTGTAACCTGTTATCAGTTAAGCACCAAGTCATCTGTTCACTTATCTCCAGTTTTCATTAAAAACATTGATTATTAAGAGCTATTACACATGAACATTGGACATGTCAACACTAAAATAATTGAGTAATCTCTTTTTTTCACATATGAGTCTCTCTCATAAATCACACCCACTGGCTTTATGTACCTGCAATCTTCTCAATGTTGAGATCCGGTTTGATGAGGTTGGCATATGGACTTGTGTAACCTAATTCAACCCAGTTACTGTGGCTGTAAAAATCCTGGGGGGAAAAACATGAATTAACATAATTGTCACGTGTATGTTCTTGTTTGTCCTTATGTGGCTTGGTTCCTGTTCTCATTATTAGTTAATCACCTTCATTCTGTTGATTGATCATCTCGTTTTCTCCTTTGTTTCCCTGTCTTTATAAGCCTTCAGTTTCTATCTATTTTTCGTCCTGGATTAATGTTGATTTAATGGTACACGTGCATTGATGCTATTTAGCTCGCCTGTTCTTTATGTTAAAGTGGCGTTAAAGTCTATTTTGGTTATTCCTTCCTCATGCGCTATCTACAACCATGGGCCGTGACAATATTAAAGATGAAAGTTTTATTTTGTGTTTGTTTAAAGATGCACCTTTTTAAGGAAACGTGTCACAACCATTAGCAAAAACACTTCTTATTATATATTATGTTTTTATTCTTACAGATGATTATATATATACACATACATACAGTGGTGGCCAAAATGATTAGAACTCTAGTGTTTTTCACC